ACCTCAGGTTCCACCTAAAAAAAATATAAACGTGCTGAACTCCAAATGTATGGAAAGAGTTCAAAGATAACCAAAGCACTAAGGTTTTATAGATTTTTTTTTCTCATTTTATGAAGTGGAAGTTGACCCTAACCCAATTGAGAAAAGGCTAATAATTCTGCTATGAATTCTGGTATTATTCTGATATGGACAAATCATAACAGTGTCATTTACCTGGGATCCTGGTGCTGAAAATAAGGGAGAGGAACTGTAGAGAAACAGGGCAGCATCTGTTTCTTTCTGGCTCTCTCCACCATGATCTCCAGTGTCTGTCATTCCATGATCACCCATCACAACCAACAGGGTGTCATTCTTCAGACGCTTTATCACTGACCTGGGTTTTGCGGTGAGGCAGCAGCAGATAATATTTAAGAGAATATATTAAAACTGTAACAACATGGCAGAGTGTAGGTTAATGAAACTAACAGCCATGCAGCTAACCTGATAACTCCATCCATCTGGGAGAGTTTCTCAGCCATCGCAGGGTGATCCGGGCCAAATCGGTGCCCACAGTGATCAACACCCAGGAAGTGAGCAATCAACACATCCCAATCATCCCCCTCCACTGAAGAAAGCAGACAAAACCTCTTAGCCATTCGTTCAGCCACTGTGTTTACAATGTAAACATGAGATGTGTATGTCTATTTACAAGGTAAACAAAGCGAGATCTTAAACCAACCAGGCAGGTTGCTAATAGATAGGTGAAATCATTCTGCTTACTGGTAGGATAAATGTTTTGGAGAATGCCATTGTCCACGGTGTGCAAGTCCTTCACATTGAAGGAGGGGAAGGGCAGAGATTTGTGGAACTTCTTGGGGAAGAGACTCACCCATGTATCATCCCCCATAAAAACAACTCTCTTGCCTTTGAAACCAGGAGAGAAAACACAACTATTAAGAAACACTCTAGCGGAAAAGCTACATTTTATGATCATTTCAATTTAAGCACAATATGTATAGCACAATATGTACGATTTTTAGATTTAAAATATCCCTAAACCACTAATCCCAAATATTTGCAACAATGTTTTAACCAGTGTGACGGCCAGTGTCTTCTTTGCATTGCCTGTCAATGATATCATGTCTGCGTTACCCTCAATTTCCGGTTTTACTTCTATAAAACACCAAAGAAGCTTTAATAGGCCTAAACATTTGATAGGCGATCAACTTTTTGGATACCTTTACATAGAGAAAACTAATTGTTATAGCTCAACATGGTCAGTTTTATTTTAAGAAGCTAGTTGTTTTCTTGATTTACTCTGAGTAACATGTTTGTGCCTTTGTCAAGTGGCTAACATAATCAGAGATAGCTTTATTTGTAGTAACAGTAATACAGCATTTTCTCCACCATACAAAATATTTTAACATGTATTAGGCTTACGTTTAGCAAAAACAAGTCATCCAGGTTTTTTTAATATGATGTTCTAATATCGATCTGCATTGTGCAATTAGTGTCTCAGACTAGCCATTGAGCGAACACACAGAGTAACAATATAACAAATGTATTTTTAGTATGATTTGTTTTGACTAAGTAAAACAGCTGTGTTATCCTGTAATTTTAATTCGCCAAATAAAGTGACCTGAGAAGTAATTCAGCACTCAAATTATTTCATTACAATGAAATAAAACAACATGAATTTAAGTGATCAAAAGCAACTATAGTTAAGTTCAAGTTCAGGGGCGGATATTAAGATTAACTTTAATCATACAAACATTAACAACAAAACAAAATGAGCTGAAGCAGTCTGGCTGTGGCATACAAACAATAAAAACAGCAACGTAAAACGTCTCAGGCTCTATGCCCCGCCCTGGTTCATATCACACAGCATAACTTTAATAGCTCATCTATGAACCTGATTTCTGCCTGAGTCCCGTCAGATTGCTTTCCATCAGCTGAAGTTGACAAATTCCCATGATTAAACATTCATTCATGGCATCATCAAGCTACGCCTTTGTTATTGTTTTGAATAAGCGACCTCTAGTGGTGAAACTTACATACTGTGCCTTTAAGATTCATTTAATTCAATAAAACAGTGACTTAGTAAATACAATTCCATTAGTTCCAATAATGCATTATAGTAAACAGAATTATAGGAATATAAAAATGGCAAGTTGCAGAAAAGGAAAATGGCAGCTGCAGATTCACTCACCCACTTGGCCCAGCTGGTGCACTAGATTGTCTTCCAGGATGGCATTGGATGCAAAGTTGTTCCCCACGTCAATGAATGTGGGCAGGGAGCCAGTCGTAAAGCCTTTGATCCTCTGCATGGTAGTGGTGGGCGGATCGGCCCGGAAGGTGTAGAGTCTGGCATGTGAAGGGTGTGATGATGCCATCTCATCTAACACCGGCAGCTTGTTCTCAAACGGTTTGGGTGCCGTGTTCTCCGGATCATAGCGGGTGAAGTCAGCCTTCAGGGCGTCGATGATCAGGACCACTGCCCTACGAAAGCGAGGCTCGCTCAGGCAGAAATCCCCCTTCATCCGGGCTCCTGGAGATAAGACGTCCGCACAGGTACTGGTTCGGTTAACCTCCAGCCTGACGAGAAGGAAGCCTCCCACAAACAGGAAGATGCCCACATAAAACACTGAGCAGACCCAGATGAGGGCGAGCAGGACAGGAAGTCTTCTCATGCTAGGCAAGACAGAGATCATGGAGAATCAATAATATGGCTGGATGTAAATTTGGGGTACATTTCTCATCAACAAAACTGTGATTTAATGAAATTCCAAGCAAACTGAAACATTGGGGTACAATTAGGTGCTTTTAATGGATAAAATAGGCTTTTTCTGAAGAAAATTGTCAGAAACAATACAATTTTCATCAAAAAACAGGAAATTTACTCTAAATTGTAGAATGACAATACATTTAGACAGAGACTCATATACATTACATTTAGACATAACGTTACGCACAGAGACATATAATATTGAGTGCCTTTCTTAGACACCCCAAGTGCATTCACTGTTCACAAAAATGCTGTCTAGTTAGGCAACTCACAAGGTTTTTAGACACAGGCCGACACAAGCAATGCTCCATAGTAAGTCAAAACTGAAACAACACCAACCTTTAGGACTTTCTCTAATGTGAAATGTGCTGTATGAGTGTACCAGGCCAGACTATTATATACTACGAAACGCACAAGAAACTGAGTCCGTAAATGCAGGCGAGTGGCTTCTGTTGTATTCATGTGTGTGTGTATGTTGCATGCATCCAGTACTGACCTTGCTTCTCTGTGTTCGTCCTCTCTCTGTTCAGGGATGTAAATGTACACCGTGCGTCCACTGCAGGGGGACTGAAATGCCCCAGGTTCACCCACATTTGGCGGCGGTGCTATCAGAGACTCAATGTTGCTCTACACTTCGGGACATGCAGCTTAATCCATGTCAGTTTGTTTAAATATTCATTGATATACATCTATGTTAATATTGGTCATCTCGCAGACCGGTTTCCACTTCCGCTGACATGCGCAGTATGCATGACGACGGTTACAGGTATTAAGGCACCTGTCAAAATAAAAGACACTGCCTGCTGATGGTCAAAATAAAAGCCTCTCTTTTCGCGCAGAATCTGTGTTTGTCGATTGTAGTAAAAGTAATTGTGTGTCCAGTCAGGGTTTTTATTTTATTTTTTTTTAAACTAACTTATTTCAATACAAGTAAACACCGTTTAAGATATTTTTCACGTTTGGTTTAAATTAAATAAACTTAATTTGTCCTAAATAAATTGCGTTACTTGGTCTGTAGATGTACTGGGATATTATACTTGGACATTATAGCTGTAAAAGGCCAACCAACTATACTGCATTTATTCATGACTTAGAACCCACTAAATGATCACTATACATTAAACCTGGAACATGACAAAAGTATAATGTAAAGTATTTGTAACATTTTATTAGGCTAGGGTAGGCCTAGCCTACATGTTTTTTTTTTAATTATTTTATTTTTGTATTTTTTATTTTAATTTTTTTCATTTTCCAGCAATATTTCAAACAAAGTTTACACATCATAATCATACCTGGAACACAGAATATGACAGATTACTTCAGTATATCCTAAAGGGACATGGTGATGGAGAAAAAAAGTTTCTCTGGGGAATGTAAACATTTTGTGAGCAAATGCAAAAATTTAGAAATATAATTTTTCCTCCTATCTCTCGTTTTTCTTGCAGTTTCTCAAGGAACACAAACATTTTGCAAGCAAACCCGAAATTCTTGGAGGAACGCAAAATATTTGCGAAAGAATGCAAAAGTATTAAAATATAGTTGTTCAATAATGTCCCTTTAGGGGCTCCGCACCAATGTATCCAGCTTTGTGATTTTAAGTGTGGACATTTTTATGTGACCATCATGTCTGTGATTAATTGGAGAACATTTGAGAAGTAAAATGATTTTGTTAAATTACAATTTATACATGGCAGCTAGATCTAAAAAAAAAAAAAAAAAAACAGATTGGAAATATCATGTTGGTGACTTAAACCTATTTATCTATAGCCCATAGGTAATTTTCTCCAAAATGGTACCTTATGAGGCAAAGTGAGACATTAATGTAATCCTCAGTAATCATGCTTATAATGAAGAGTGTATAGATAATCTCACTCTAAACACAACAACAAACCAGTGTGCCAACTGCAGTGACATCAGATCTCTGAGCACAATCAATCATTTCCTTTACTAAGATGCCAAACGCACACCAATTTGGAGAGGAAATGACCATTTACTTTTGAAAACACAAAATTAACATCCATCCCATTCTCACACCAGTCACCACTGAACACAATAAAGTTACGTCTGATCACAAAGTCAACAATGCGAGTCATTCAATGTGGGAATAATGCCACATCTGTGTGTCGAGCGAGAGGTGCCATCCAGCTGTTGGCAGGTAAACAGAGACAAGCCTGTTCCACCAGAGCATGTGATGCCAGCTAGCATATAAAAGCGGGATTTAAAGCACACACTGGCATTGGGCACATTGAATTTTAGCACTTTGTTTCAACTTGTTCGGCATCCACCCCTTCATTCGAGATGAGAACTGGTATAGCCATAATGCTCTTTGTTGCAGTGGCAGGATTCCACAATGGTAAGATTAAAATATTGCCTAACAACATTTGTACATTGATGTCTGTCTAGTTTATCTGTTTTTGTTTTAGCCAGTCCTGAAAAAAATGGGCTATACTGAAGTCGCTGCCTTAATTTTTTAAGTACAACCAATCAAGTCATTTCATTGTACTTTGAAGAATTAGTTGAATCTTGAAAAACATATAAAAAAGGTTTAAATTGCTTAACTTACCTTGATGAGTTAAAGCAATGCATAAATTATTGATCACATATTTTTTTACTGCGTGTCTTGTTTTTTAATTGAATGCATACAACGTATATATATTTGAATATACATGATATATATATATATATATATAATGTATATTCAAATCAATATATATATATATATATATATGTGTGTGTGTGTGTGTGTGTGTGTGTGTGTGTGTGTGTGTGTGTGGTGTATGATTATTTATATATTTAAGATAAAAATGTTATATGTATTTAAAATATTTATATCTGTATATAATTTATAATATTATATTATTTATGTAATATATGCTATTATATGTTAAATAATATTAATAATAATATTTTATAATGTTTCTGTTATGAATACTAGACCATGATATGTGCAAGGTTGAAATCAATAGCCTAATTGGCAAAGTTATTTAAATAGCTGCATCGTTTCCATTTGTGTTTCTTTGCAATTATCTGTGCTATAGCCTAGTTAACGTTAATAAATTAGGCCCTAATTTACGTCATTGATAACAATTTATTCTTACTGGATTAGCTGGCCAAAATAGAAAGTATTTTCTGTACATAATCTGCATAGCCTCCTATGAAACCTATATTTACATGTTTGTGTTTGTAGCGATTTCAGCATCTCTGGAATTCGATGAAAGCAATAAATCGCCTGAAGAGAGAAGTAAATATATTCAGTTTGTTTTGGATGATTTCCCCCCAATACAACATACAGTAAAATATTGACAAAGAAAAAAAAATGTAGGCCTAATCTCTCTATTTTGTCTGCCCTCAGTGTATGAAGAGAACGTCACGACAACACAACCAGGTGGGTCATAGTTTCTTCTGAAATGTATAGCCTAAATTAAGATATATATTTGCTCAGAATAACCTCCACCACTGACCCACTCAGCCTTGATATGGTTATGACAGACAGGCTCGTAAATCTCGCATTTACTTATCGCAGTGTTGTTCTGACTGAGATTCCCACAAGCTGACGTCATTTTACATGTTTCCTCAGATGACTCGGAATATGCGGCTGCTCACGTGAACGGTAGGCCTAGACATGTGGGGTAGGAAATCAAAAGCTGGTCGATCCAAATGCTCATTTTGATGTTGGTTTGAGGCCATTTACTCACTCTCAATATTCTTTGGCTCAGTGACAGAAGATCTCCTTAAAACGACTCATATGGGTGAGAGATGGGTCGTGTCTTTTTTAAGAATCTGAATCATCTGAAAATGTCCAAATAAATAGCATATTTGTTTATTTTCTAATTTGTTTAACAGATGGAGAGACAGAGGCACTAACATTTGATACAGGTAAAGGGAATTACTTTTTCAGAACTTTTTTTCCTGGAAAAATATACATTCATGATAGGCTAGATGATGTGTTGCAGGCAGCATCAAAATTGTTGTAGATTTTATAAATAATAGAATTTAAGCCTATTCTTCCTACTTAAATTGTCCAATACATGCAATAACCAACTCAAATCAGCTCAAAATATCTTGCATTGGATCAATTTGTGTGTGTCTGCCGATTAAAAAAAAAAAAAAAAAAACTTTTTTATTATTATTATTATTTTCATGACTCTTGCCGCTAGATGGCCTTATAGCTCTATAGAAAAACTACCCAGCCGAACATCTCATTTGTTCCATATAGAGTCTATATGGAGCAAATGAGATGTTCGGCTAGGTAGTTTTTCTCTTCAGTATGCATTTACTGTGGGATAGATACACATGTAGACATTATATATATATATATATATATATATATATATATATATATATATATATATATATATATATATATATATATATTATATATATATATATATATATATTTTTTTTTTTTTTTTTTTTTTTTTTTTTGGTAAAGCTTTAGCATTTTAAGTTTAATTTTGCAATTTTTTTTTTTTTTTTTTTTTTTTTTTTAGTTTTTCCTATGTATACTGAAGCATTCCTCACATTCAATTCATTCATTAAGGGGGACCCGTGAGAATTTCTTACTTTTTTTTCCACAACTAAAGTAAGATAACTCCTCAAATCTGGACCACCCCAATGACCACCCCACTCAACTTTTTTTTTATGAGGGGTTGAGGTGACCCATGGGAAATATGAGGGTTTTAATTATTGTTTATAATTATGGTAGCCTAATTATTTATTATGCTATTTAGTATTATGGTGTGTAGTTATATTTGTTTATTTCCAAATTTGTCTGTTTTTTTCTAACTTTATACTCCATGAACAATCCTAACAGATGGAGAGACAGAGGCACTAACAGTCGATACAGGTAAAGAGAAAGAGTAGCTATTTCAGAACTTTATTTTCTGGAAAGATACACATTCGGAACATAACAGATAGTAATTAGCAAATAATAACAAGCTTTAAGATGCCAAACTAAATATTATATGAGCTGTTTTATTTTGTGTTCGTTTTAATATTCAAGATTATTCACACATGTAATGTCTTTCAATTGATGGTATAAAAAACGATTTGTTCTTTATGTTATTTTTTATGGAAACAAACTGTTCTAAGGCACATGTGACGAAACACTTATGCAAGGTTTTTTTTTTTTTTTTTTTTTTAACGTAGGAGAGAACACCGGAAGTGACGAGTCCGTAGGTACGTGTGGTAATCCATTCGTCACCACACGAGGACGACAGTGTGTCACTTACAATGCAAACTGTACTATGAAAAGAGATTATGTGAAGAAAAAAAAAGAGATTTTGTGAACTAATCGCGGGTTGTGTTGTGTGATTTTATTTAGATTTTTCTGAGGAAGACAGTAAGTATATTCATTTAAATTATACTACTGTACAAGCAAAGCACTGTAAATTATATAGGCTATATATATATTGTCTTGTTAACTCATCTTTATCGTGTTATTTTATTTCTATGATTGGTGTGGCTACTGTAAACTGCTAATGTTTCCATGGCTATTGTAAAGTTGTGTAACACATGACTCTTATTGCACAGCCTCTCAACAGAAGACAGGTAAACGCTTCACGTTACATTATTTGTATCCATAATTTAAGACGAAAAACAGTTAGAAGTCTAACATATGTCCTTTCATTAAAATAGAATGATTGTATTCATGCATGTGGTATATATAGTCAGTAATTTAATGGATGACTTTTGCAATTGTAATCGTTCCTTTTGATAATTGACCTGTTCTCTCTTATATAGTCTCTTGTTATTTTCTAGAGCACATCGAGCAGGCTGAAGAGACTGTGAAAATAACAGGTGAGATGTGTTCTTTTCACTGTTAATCTGTTCATTCAGCTAATGAAATTAAAAAATAATAATAATCTTAAAGAATAATAGGGTTTTGGGTTCATCATACTCAAATACAGACAATAGCCTATATATTTTTTCTCAATGAGACCTTTCTTTCTAGGGGTTTTCTTTGATGATGCTTACGAAGAACAGTCGGTGTTTGAATGAGTGAATGTGAGGCAAAATGTAAAGCGCTTTGGTGGACATTTGGTTCTGCTATATAAATGCAGTCCATTTACGAAGAAAACTAGCGTGTGTGAAATCTATGTAATATCTTTTAAATCTGAATCTCTTGTTATTGCAAATTGCTAACCTGTGTACTACCTAGATAAAATCCACTGCATGTATGGTGATCTTTTGCACACACAATTTCAAAGATCAGGTTTTTTTTTTTGTTTTTTTTTTAATAAAGACTGTAAAAACTGATGTTGTCCAGCCTTTCGAGTAAATGAGAGGCTACAGGTGGGTGTAATAACATGATTGCATGTCTTCTCACTGGCAGCAGATGTAGGTGGTGTGAGAGAACATATCTAAGAACATATCTAGGACGTTTATCCAGGCCAGCGCCGTCTACAGTCCTTGGGGGCTCATTTGGGCTTTATTTATATCAGCTGCATTGTCCCAGCTTATTTTTGGACCAAAGATGCAAAGTTGCATATCCCTAAAAATACCATCAGAACTAGTGAAATTAAATAAGCAGGCAGACAGATGATAATCAAAAAGTCATTTTAATCTTTCATCCCAAAGCGCAATATACAAAATAAAACATGTTTTTTTTTCCCACTCTTTGGTAACAAAAGAAAAGAAAAAAAAAAAAAAACCATCCTTAAGGCAACTACAGCAACTATGTAAGGTCTAAATGTGTTGAGTTTAAAACCAAATAACCATTCACAAATGGCTTCACAGCAATGCAGATCCTCACATCCAGTTAAAGAATGCTGTGATCTTTCTACACCACTGCTACCTTCAGACCAAACCATCATTTAACACCACTGTCCCACACCCATCTAATAAATTGGGCAAGTCATACGTGTTGCTGTAGGGTTTGTAAAATATAAGCATATACATGTTTATATCGGTCTACATTCCTCAGAAGTACTACAGTAGGTCTATGAGAAGGCTGGAGGAGATGAGCTACACCAACCAACTGGATGCCATCAAGTTTTACAGAAACGCCAATAATCTCAAATCTAGCGCAAGTAAACTTCACTCACTTCATCAACGTTTAATTCACTGTGTCAGATATTAAGCACCACAGCAAAGCATTACTGTAATTCACTCAAAGGAAAAGAGGCTTATTTGTTGTTTTTAAACATAAGAGGTCCATTTTTGCAGGGGACTTTTTATATATACATCTATAAATTTAATTTCCAAAAACGGATCTTTTGGCCCCTGGGCAGCATTACTCTGGTAATACGGGCATAACGTATTTGGGCATTTTAGTAACACTTCATCCAGCAGCCATGGTGACTGAACACAAAGGGCCAAAATCCACCATATGGAGTTCAATTGTCTACAGCAAACATTCAAGGACGCGCTGCATTTAAGAGTCACCAATAGCATACCAATTACAGCAGAGCATTCTGTGCTTTAAGGAAAAGCTGAATCGTAGCAGTAGCTGCTGGGATGTTTAACTGCATCTCCAAGTACAGGTTGGTCTGTTATAGTTATTCAAAGCTGGGCTAAGCAGAGCAAATATTAACAGCTCAATTACAGTGGTGCAAAACACGCAGGTGAGTTTGATGTTCTGGAACCCATTAATAAAAAAAAGAGCACTAAAAGAACGCCTGGACTATCAATATTTTTGGAAACTGCTTAGTTTACCAAGAGGCTTGTTTTGTAGTGTAACCTACAAAATAACTAAAATTAGATCAAGACATCTGAAAAAGGGCACTGAAATTGTATTAAGGAACATGATGTGAGTGACCAGTTTCTTTGCAAATCAACCCTCACAGGACTAAAAATGTGAGTTATAAGGCTCTATTTGTGGGTTAAGTCAGGGCTGCTTAAGAAAAAGTGAAAAACTCATGCTTACCGAATGTAAAGAATAAAAACGGAACTCCATTGCTCTTCCCTAAATTCTTCACACCGCTTTTGTAAGGAACTCAAATGACAAAGTAATGAAAAATGCATGTCAAAGGAAGTCTAGCTAATACTGCATTGTAATTGTTGTTTTACCTTAAAAAAACCCTTTAGTTCTGTACATAATTACATAAAAAAAAACTGATTTAACATATGTACAAGAGGGAATTTAAATGGCAACCATTCTAGTGATGAACTTTTCTTCCCTGGCCAATGGCATGTGATGGTGCAATGCACACAAATCATCAATACAGGCTAAAAATGATGCAACCAAAAATCACAGGCTCAATCGAAAGGGGCCTTTTCATCCCCCACTCATCACGAGGATGACAGGAGGGAAGAAATAAGAGAAACAGAGAAGGGAAGGTTGAGACATGCCCTCATCCTCTCTCTGGGGATCCTTGTTCCTCCTTGAGAGCAGAGGACTTTTAAGGCCTCACAGAATGACGTAGGTGAACAGGGCCATGATGGCCGCGCTGATAAGGCCAGAGATGGGTACAGTGACAAACCAGGCCAAGAAGATGTTTCTAAAAAGCCGCCAGTCCACTGCCTTCCTGGAGCGCAGCCAGCCGACAGAGACCACTGACCCGACCTAAAAACCACAAACGACAACAAGCTGTAGTTATCAATCTCATTCAAATAATCTCCGTCTAGGACTTGCTTTGCATCAGTCTGTTTTACATATAGGCCAATCTTACCTTGCAGTGAGTGGTGGAAACTGGAAGACCAATGTTAGAAGCAACCACAACGGTGATGGCAGAGGCGAGCTCGATGCTGAAACCACTGAAATTAAACAAAGTATAGTTTAGGTAAGTCTGCCAATTGGGAGGTTTTGCTCTGTACAGCAGGTGCCTAATATTACAACATGGGTATGTATTTATACCTAGACGGGGTGATGGGGGTCAGGTCCTTGCCCATGGTCTGGATGACTCTACGGCCCCAGACCCACAGACCGACACAGATGCCGACTCCTCCATACAGCAGCAACCAGATCGGAGTTGGTGCAGTTGATACAACAGACCCACTGTCATAGACCAGCCATAGAGCAACCAGGGGACCGATTGCATTACTGAAAGCAAAAGAGAAAAAACAAGCTCAAATCTTAGTTTTAAAATCTGTGAACACAATTTTAAGCATTGTACAGCTCAATGCAATAATACCTGACATCATTTCCGCCGTGAGCAAAGGAGCCAAAACAGGCGGTTAGAATTTGCAGGAACTGGAAGAGCATCGACACTTCCGGTCTGTCAGCATCAGCTCTATCCTCCTCCAAAGAACTACGGCTACTCCCAGGATCTTCGTCAACGATCTCCAAAGTGACCTCACCTTCGCCGAGTCCTTCAGGTGCACCATTCTCTGCCACTGCATTACAGTAACTTGTGTAGCTGTCCATGCGGACGCGCTTCCTCTCCTGGGTGCTGGCTTTTTCCTTGTCTCCATCTTCGGAAGCACGGAAGTCAGCTTCTTTGGGCTTGATTTCTCCGTACATGCCAATGATGGCCATAGTGTAGGAGGTGTAGCTGTTGTTGCGGCGGATGGGCCGTTCGCCACCCTCCCCCATGCAGTCTCCCACTTTTGCTAGATGGAGTTTGTGCAGCAGGTCCTTGTAGAGGCCAGAGTCCTTGTGAACTGTGTGGTACTGAGAGTAACCGTTGCTAGGAATCTGACTGGGGCCGGTGGTGAATTGAACGTGGGTCCTTGGAGCAGCTGAAGACAGAATTAATTTACATGATTGATCTGCGACAAAAACAGTAAGCATGCGTCATGATTGGCATGGCATGTGAGGCATCACACCCTACAGACTTACCAATGCCTGTCTCTGACTCTTTGCAGTCCTTTTGATCTGGGTCATCTGAATCCCCAATGTTAAAGGTGACTTTGCGCTCCTCAGAAGGAGGTGGGGAAGAGGGGGGGTTAGAGGACAGGGCACTGGATTCCTCAGGGACAGGTTTCAGGATGGGACTGTGAGCTTCATGCAGCTCCCTCTTCTCCATCAAAGGACTCTCAGAGGGACTGGAAGACTTTAATTTACCTGTATATCAAACAAGATAGATTAAAGATTATAGTCAGCTCCATGATTGCTAGAAACAACAACAACAACAACAAAAAAGTGTTCAAATGTTTTATTTAAATCAATTTTATTAATTTACATTTATTCAGATAATAAATGTTATTAACAATTAATTGAGAACCATAAGGAATCTGATCAATCATTTGTGAGAAGTACAAAGGCTGATGAGCCTTTATTCACGGGCAATTCACATGGCCATCACATGAGCGCTCGATTCTATAAACTTTAAGAGGCAAACACTCTGTTTGCTTAAATTGTCACTATAACCCTACATTTCAAGGACAGTCTGACATAACTCGGTCCATCGTCCACTGATCTGCCGAGTAGCGTACTTGAACTCTATTTTAGTAGCAAATGCCACCTCAAACTGTAGCCATACACCTTAATGTGACGAGACGGAGATGCTTGCGCCAACACCTCAATTACCCCACGGCTATTCCGGTTTACTAGGCAAAGACCAATTAATGGATCACTATGACCCAATTAGGCTGTTAATACACAGCCTCCGACTATACAGATCTAGATAGACAACACAGACTACTTGGTTTGTGTTAAACTTCCATATCTAAAACTGGTATTTCTTGAAAGTGCAGTTGGTATTAGAATGTTTTGTGTGTTTTTGTCCGTCATGTGAATCGAGGATTAGGGAACATTTGTTTGCCATCAAATTTTGTTCATTGTGAACTGTAATTGAGATCACAGCTGTTACAATGGATGCTTATTACTGTCAATACAGTATATAATAGCTACAACACTACATAAAAACTAATGTAATAAAACTGCTTGCAAACCATTCTGCATACATTCAGTATTTTTGCACAGCATATCCAGAGTTGACAGAGCTTAACTTGTATTGAACCCAGAACATTCCTTTAAAGAGTATATTGTCTTTCTAAGTGACTTATTAAAACTGCTGTCCACTGCCAATCTTTAATCTGTAGGGTATTATCCTCACAAACACCTGGTGCTAGCCCTAAGGCTAATAAATCTCTCATGTCCACAGATTGCCATCCAGATTTTATAGGGCATGGAAATTTCTGATTTAAAGTGTGTACTTAGCCTATTTAAATTATAAAAAAAAAACATTCAAAGGTTATATCAAAGTACAGTGCAACACAACATCTGTAATGGGCCTTATAAAAACTCCTGTGGCACCCCACACATTTAACATTTTAAAGTAGTCTACTTGGCATCGGTTAAGCTACCCAACCGGGTTGTGGAAGTGATATGCAACCAGTTATGACATTCTATTCTATTCTATTCAGTTTTAGTGCGACTGATCATAAACAATTACAAAATGAAAAATAGATACTTACATTCAATCTTCTTCTTGAGTCGAGGGCAGACAACAAACCAAACGAAGATGCCGGTGACCAGGCCAAAGCCGATGGAAATTAGCAGCACTCCCCACCAGGGCAGCTTATCGAATCCCAGCACTGCAGTCCCATCAGTCACAGGGGGAAAGGGACCAAATGGGGTTTTGAGGAGGGGAGGAAAGGAAAGGTGCTTTTGAGACAACAGGCAGCATGTGCTACCAACAATACAAACAGCATTAGGGAATAGACAGGGACATTGTGGAATCCCGGTTGTTAGTAATGGAGTTGGAGTTGAACATTAATAAGATGTAAGAAGTGAATTCGCAGCATCTAGAATTTGCTTTCACACCCTTTCTGAAGAAAATAAATGCATATTCAGAGAATAATACTTAGAGGCCACTGGCTCGCATTTATCATTTTCAGTTAAAAGACTATTATGAAGAGTTTAAGAAATGTACTTGCTCCACTTGTTTAGGAGTCGATAGAAACGCAAACCAAAACAACCACTGCAACCAAGTGTCAAATATCCTTGTCGCAAGGCTTGTCCTCTTACATAACACTTCAGGTGAGATGTGAGTGCAAACAGCAGCAAAATGTTGCAGTGACAAGACAGCCCACAAGGCCAACACACCATGTTCAACAAGTGCGGGTGCCTTAAAAGGCAACTGCGGCAAGATATCACCCCCCGTCTCTTTGAGAGGACGAGTGGGGGGAAAAAATGTGACCACTCCTGCAGAAAGGTTATATCTGAGCCAAGACTGCAGTGTTAGCTGTGGTAATGAAGAATGTGTGCTGCATGTTCAAGAAAGAGTGCTGGCTGAGCAAGTCAGCCATTTACAAATTCCCCATGGGGTCCAGAACCACAGACAATGAAATGTGTCAACTTAAGTTCATGGGACCAAAAAGGGTATTGGAAATATTTGGAGCAAAACTGTCCAAATGAGATGGAAATAAAATGCTTAGGTGGAGCAGGAATGTGAAAAATAAACAGTAAGAGAGGTTTAGAGATAAGAGGCCAGGGAGCAGTGGGGCATAAATTCCCGTGCCTTGCCACATGCACGTACTACTGCAGGGGCATGCAGTGACGCTGTGTGCTTTGGTTATGCAACTCCAGTTCAATCTCCGGAGACAAGATTCAAAGACATTTTTTAGAGAGGGCACTGAGTTACAGAAGGGAGGAACAGCTGAACTTTCTAACATGACTTAGCAGCATCTAAAGGCACAGAACAGGTGTGGCCAGCAGAGTTGAGGGGGTGAATGATGGAAATAAGAGAAAGGCCAACAAATGGGGCCCAGTTATCACTTATGGCCGGCTGGCACGGTTCCTGCTCAGTGTGTGAGAAATGCAGCCCTGTGCATGTGGGTTAGGCGGGGATTGCATTCATGCTTGCATCGACGTAGTTTGAATAGCAATCTCCCACAAAAGGGGAGCAGCCAGGCCACAACCATGCAGTGGGATGAATGAATGGAAGTGGATTCATTTCCTGCTTTGCCTCACAATAAAATCTGCTATCCCATGGCCTTTATTACACAACAACACAAGTTGTTTTTCCAGACACTTTCAAGCACTATTTGTCATCCTGGTGACGTGCCGATGGTTTATGAATCATTCATAAACCTGGGCTGGGAACTGGTGTTTATGGCAATTATGGTGATTGTGATCTTTGACCGTCGTGTGTCTGTTGCAAAGGTCACACACAGTTTTTGATAATTAACAGACAACATGAAAGAAAAAAAAAAAAAAGTTTATGATGTGATATTGTAACTTAGTACTACCAGAAAGATATTTGGTGAGGATAAAAACCGTTTATTGTTTTGTTTTGTTTTACCCATGCCACTGAGTATGGCATCCGCAAATGAATCTGGTGCTTCAAACAAAACGTTCTTTTTGACACCGTAAACTGTTTTGAGTCATGTAGACTAAGCCTGGCCAAATATAAAAACATTCCACTTCAAATCCACAAAGTCTGTTATTGCTGCCTTTCGTGTTTGCTTTATATCCCCAGGGCAACCAAAACACCCCACTGTCTGTTTTTCCAAAGAGAAAGCAGACCGGAAAATAAGCATAGACATACTGGGGGCGGGAGGGTGTAGCCAAACATTATCGCCCTTGTTATTAAATTAAGAGCATGAGTAATACAAGTTAAGGGCTGGGATAAAGGATCCTTTAGGATTCACAAAAAAATTCTAAAGAAATTTCTTAAGACAAACTGTAAGGAATTCCACGTAAGATTTTTTTTCCAAGAATTGCACATTTTCAGAATTTCTAAAGAGCTATATGAAATTTTTTTTCTTAAGAAGAAAATGAGAGGCTTTGTTTATCTAATCTTCAGCAAGATCCACCATACAATCAAGATAACAACAAAGAAAAACACCTTAAAAAGTGTTCTTTTTATCTTGACAGGAGTTATCATACAGCACACCATCATATTTAACGTGCATGGTCCCTATTTGAATCGTTTTTGTAGCTTAAGTTACAAAATTTTTAAATCAAGTCACATCACTCATAATTATGACTAATCATTGTTTACATAATCTACCATCCGAATTTTGGCAACTAGTGTCGATTCCTCCAGATTGTAAATTAAGACAAAAGTCGTGTGGTTTATTTCAGCCTTCATGTGTAGTCATTGTGAGAACTAGCTGACTAAATTAAAGTAATAATTCAAACAAATAAATCAGACAAACAAACAAATAATTGTTTGCCTACTTCAGTCTCAAATGCTGAGGGCTTGTGTGTCATCTGTATTTTGCATGAGGTGAAATTTACAGGCACTGTGGATGCTGAATGACCATATGTCTGTGTGCAGAAATTGGGGGTGGGTTACAGCACCAGGTTAAGGAAAGGTGGTTTATTATAAAAGGACCAGTGACTAGATGTGTTCATCGCAAAGTATGTGCATTGGAATGAGTTATCATCCTCATATTGCACAAACAGTTCAAATAAAACCAGAAGAACGAGGAGTTCCAAGTACCAGTGCAAACACACCGCTTCAAGGAAACTCCACCTAGCCACATTCTTACTGAATTTGTACAGGGCATGTGCACCTACATTCAGCACCCAGCACCCTTCAGCACACAAAAGAGGTTGATCAACGATTCATGACATGCCGCATGCCTCTCAACCCCCCCCCCCCCCCCCTGGCGAGTGCTGGTATTGTCCTGTCCAGGGAGAAGCCTTGGAATAAATGATCCAGAGTGAACAGCCTTAAACAGGTTTAGAGTGGGCGGAGTTAAGGGACTGTGTCTGGTGATCTGCTGGCTTTAAAGCTAATCCAACAGCAGATGACACGACAATGTAACTAAGTGTGGCTAAAGATCAAGATAACCGTATGTTAAGATGGCTCTATTACTATGTTGACCTGAATTGTCAGCGAGACTGTGAGAGGATACATGTCCTTGTCCTGATGCTTTCAGACAACTCACGTGCTGTGTGCGTCAGCTGATGGGAAACCTCATTCTAATTGATTCAGGGTCCTGAAGTGACTTCGCACTTATTAAGTGGGCTCTAGAGGACAGCCTTTTAATTTTGAGACTATAAATCTTTAAAAGTCATTAGAAACTACATGTATCAGATGAAAACCACTAGGCATAATCTGAATGGATTTATCACTTTTTGAGTTTTGTAACAAACTTAACATAATCTTATTTTAATATTTAAGTACTAAACAGAGACTATTCAGAAAGAAAACTGGCATTGCATAACTATAGACTGTCCAAATATGAAAAAACTTAAAGCATTAGGGTGTTTAAAGCAGAATGTATGTGTGCTGCTAAGTGCATGTGTGTATGCTGCACCTTGCTGTGCCTACGTAAAGAGCGCCCGCCTGGAGTGCACGTGTACACACTCCTAGGCTGCATATCACGTCATACCCTGGCCTGTAGCCTTCATTTAATGGCCCAGGCCAGTTGACTTCTTGAATTGTTGAGCCCTGTAGGTAAAAGGAAACAAAAAAGGAGCAAAAGTTGCTCATTTAATAAGGCTTCAAATTGAAAGGCAAAAATTATTCAGAGCTCAACAGTTAACAGCACTCAAAAACGAAAAACGTAGTGCTTTCTCTACTGAGGCTGACGGTTCTTTTTGATGGGCGTGAATTCTTTATTCCACTGTTTTTTCTCTCCTATGACGGAGAAGGAAAAAACACTGACTGAGGTCATAAATACAGACACCACATGTCCATGTCATGAGTGCTCCACTGAGTTCTCCATTGCCCACTGGTTAAACACTGCTTTGCCTTATGCACTGTAAACACAGTCTAGCAGAGTCTGGGCATCTGCTCAGGATGTTAATGGGCATGAAAAGGGCAGGAATTCAGAAATACTCACAAGGAGCTCCAGTAAACATTATGGAGAACAGGTTGATTCCCATTGTAACGGCGTAGAAGAATGGCAGGGCCCTCAGACCATTGGGCACTGGATCCTTCTGCAAATGACAAAATACACTTTTAGCCAACATTCAACCTTGGTGTGATATTATATTCTTCTCACTCTACATACAAGTTACCCATTAAGACCAAGTTGGAAAGATAAGATCCTTTTATTTACCTTTTGTAAGATGAGTTTGCGAACAAAGAAGAAAAGAATGGCAGACATGATGCCGGAAAGGAGAGGTGAGAGGAACCATGAAGCAACTGTAAGGGAACAAAGAACAATACACTTTAAGGAAACTAACACACCTCCAGTATCTTGACAACAGTATTAATCATACAAGTTCAAATGACAAATGGATCGTTTATGTGAATGCTGCCGACTCACCGATTCTAAGAATCTCCCACCATTTGACTCCCTGCTGACCTTTGGCGACAAGTGAAAAGCCAATGGTAGCCCCCACGATGCAATGGGTCCCAGAAATAGGTAGCTTCAGAAAAGAAGCAGCCAACTGCCACACAGCAGAGCCTGTTGAGTGGTGGGGGAAAAAAAGCACACTCAAAAAGAGAAACCTCAAATTGCATATATAATAATAAGTAATAACATGTATTGTACAAGCACTTCATGGGCTACTCACCAACCATAGCGCTGACTGAGCCAGCCATCAACACATGCTCCGAGCCGTTATACATGGTCACATCAATAATGCCTTTGCGGATGGTCTCGCTGACCTTTGCTCCAAGCAGCACAGAGCCCACAGTTTCAAAGATAGTAGCAAGAATACAGGCCTGCCTAAGGGTAACTACACCTGAACCCACTGCCGTCCCAAACGAGTTGGCAACGTCATTAGCACCCACTGAAAAGGCCAGGATAAACGCTATGACGAAACCTAGGATTAGGAGCCATAGATAGTCTGCCGTATCGATTGGAGCAAACCCGGCAATGGTGCTGCTCACAAGCGCTATCGTGGCCAGAGTTGTCGATACCATGGTGCGCAGATGGTTTTCAAGTTATACGGAAAAAAAATAATAATTTACTTCACAATCTTACAGGTAAGAGAACCAAATATGTATAAATAATTCAAGCAGCAGCACACTGGATATTTTATCCCCAGAAAATTGAGGTACTAGTGTTTCTAAATCCGTTTTTCTGCCTCAGACCTACCTTCGCCCTTCACTAAACCAGCAAATCAAAGCAATCCAGACACCAGAGGGAGAATCTGCACTGCTCTAAACTGATATGTAACGTCAAGGGAGAGGGTGGAGTGAGGGCCTATTGCTATCCTCTGAATAGACTAGATCTGTTACGGTTTGTTTTGGCTTGGGCAATTAGGCAGACAGAGAGGACATCCATTGTGCAACAGACACGATGGGTGAATGGTAGCTCATTCCTGAAAAAAAAAGAGGAAAAGTGGGAAGGTTCCCGTGTTACGTAACAATTTCACTGCAAAGCCACTATAACTTGGACATAAGTCTGCTATTGCACACTAACGCAGTATTAGCACTACTTTATTCGCCATAGAGGGAGCTAAAAGTTTCTAGAAAACTCTTTCACTGTACAAAAGAGGACGCATCGAGAACAGACAAACATGAATGCATGCATGATCATACAACAAAAACTTTTGAAAATAAAATATATGGCATCTAACGTTAACGTTGCCTATGCATGAACGAAATCCAATGATCTTATGGCTTTTTGGCTACAATCATCGAGTCAAAACATTCACAGAAGGAAAATGTAGCATTAAAAAGCCAATATATTTCCTAACAAGCCGGAGAAGGAAACACTTTGATTATTATTTTAGGCATTGTGACAACAAACAGCAACTTGCATTCAAATTAAGCTGCCAACACATCCGTGTCATGTGGCTTTCCAGCACATTACTGCAATGCAGCCTTTATTGGCAAAGAAAACGCAGAAAATAAAATCACGAAATGTGTTTGCCTGTCACTTAGGGCTGTTTCAGCCAGTTCTCCCCGCTCGCGCTAAACACGCACTTCCTCGCTAACGTTAGCTTGAGGAAACAAATCACTCACGAACCCCAAATCGTCAGCTTTTAACCCATTTTAGATACGCTGATGTAAATATGAAAATAAAATAGTACACTAGTGAAAAACGAATTTGATACGCCTTTTTAGGTTAACAATGCGAAATTCATCTTTTCTGTGCGCGCCGGGTGTCCCCTCCGCACAACACGTGTCGTCATTCATTCACACCCGCTAACAGCTAATATGACGTTAAAAATCACAAGTACTTAATTAAAAACATACCAAAACACATTTAAACAACATATATCAGTGACACCGTATCAATTAATAATCGTAAATAGACGTGTGTATTTTTTCCACATTCGACCACCGCGAGTCAGCTGACAAAGCCAGGAGCTCGCGCTCATTCTGACCGTTCACAAATTAGCAAAGGGAAAAAAACGTCGACGAGAAAGAACGACAAATACCACCAAGTACAAACTAGAATAGGAAAAAATATTTTTTACTCACCACTCAAAGAAAATTGTCGATGAAATCGATTTAGATATTTTGACACAGTAGCCCGCCCAGTCAACTTCCCGTAGACGCTTTCCCCGCGCGCGGGGGGTAACGTTAGATACGATAAATGCTCTAGCTCTTTCTTAAACACTAACGTCGGTTGAATAAACTAAAATCAGATCTTAAAGCGACAAATAAAAAGACACTGCTGATTGCTTTGAGTCTTTGATTAAATAAAAAAAAATCCCAATTTAAACCGCTTTTAGCCGGCTTCAGATAACGTTACTGAGTTCCTGCTTGTCCACGCAAGACATATATCGTCGGACTGTGAGGGCGGGGCAAGGGGGCCGTCTTCGCTTGATGATGGTGGCGTCAAACAATAAACTCCGCCCTCTGACCTTATTTGGCAAGTAAAACGACTTTCAACTATTACTAAAACTCTGTAAATGTATAATCTGGAAAATGCCCGCATGATGCTTCTGCATTACAAATAAAGTTAAATTCAACATCTACCCCACAAATACATTGCTTTAGATGTTTCAGATGCCGGAAAATAATTTTTTTTAGTTTGTTTTAGAGTTTATATTTACATTTTGTCTGAAAAAAATGAAAGTATAACTGACTAAAGACATCTGTATTTGTGAATATGAAGATAAAAGTACAGAGGACAAATTAAACTATTTTGTTTTTGATTTGGTAATTTGGTAAAAAAAAAAAAAAAAAAAAGTAAAATAAAACAATATATTCATTTCACATTTATTTGTATAGCGCATTTTACAATAAATATAGTTTCAAGCAGCTTTAGAAAGTGCATGCCTAGATTACAATAGAGTGATTTATTATAGCTGACTGTGTCCAAAAATTACATAAGTACTTCAGAAATGTACATTATGCAGTTAGCCAACAATGTATTTATTGAAACAATGTATCCATTTAAAGCAGAAACATATTTCCCCTGATATAAACAAGAGTGCAGATTGATCTGTTGTAATTGGTAAAAATGTGGAATATCTAAATTAATTCAAAAGTGCTTATTGTTGTCTCTCTCTTTAATGTGAACATTTGGGGACTTTAGCTTATTCACTGTATCCCACACTGTAAAAAGAAAAGGTGCCTGGAGGAACCTTTTGGGATTCTTCACTTTGTCACACCGGCAGAACCATCTGTAGATCCTCTAGGCACCCTTTGGAAAAGGGCAGTTCTCTGAGGAACCACTCCTGAGGAACTCTTATATTAGGCACTGTGTGGAACCATTTTGGGTTCCTCCAGGAACCAAAACAAACTGAACTAAATACAAAATAAGAATGGTTTATTACATATTTTAGATCCACTTCAATACATACAATTCATGCACTTGGGAAAAAAGTTATGGTTAAAAGATGTCTGTGTATCATATAACCTTGTTATTTGTACAAACTGTGACTATACAAATCACAACATATAAATGGGAAAATGTTGGCATTATTTTGTCACTTATTAGGGAGCAGTATGCTAGCTGGAGCCATTTACTTCCAGTCTTTGTGCTAAGCTAGGCTAGCGGCGAGTGTGTCAGACAGTTACAGCACGCACGGAGATGAAAAGGATATGTATTGACTTATCTAACTCTGGGATACGGTGAATAAAGTCCCCAAAAATCTCCAACAGACAACAATGTAGGCCAGTTTTACCTTTATGTACAATTCCAAACCTGCTATATTTGAATCTCTTTGTATATACAGTATACATAATAAACAGTACATTTAATGTATACTGTATACAAACATATTCAAATATAGCAGGTTTGGAATTGTACATGAAGGTAAAACTGGCCTAAATTGTTGTGTGTTGGAGATGAGTAATGGTCATGTGTTCAATTTTCACAATTCAAAGGCGTTTCCTGTTTCCAGTATTGCATTCCCTCTAATTCACATATCCATGCTGCATCGTTTATGGTACTTGAAAAAGAGATCAAAATGTATGTAGATGTGATGTCAAAATCTAAAAATAGTAAAGCAATTAAAGTGATTAATATATGCTCATCCTTGAACATTTTCACATAATATAATATAATTTCACATATATAATAGTTTCACAAATATAATTAATGATGCTGATATATAAAAGTATACTCTATGTATTTATATTGCATTAGAATACGCTTTGGAATTGATAAATGTATAATGTATATCTGCTGGTAAACTGATATTTATCTCATTCTTTTTATTTTTTATTTTAATTATTTTATTTATTTTCTGTTCTTGTTGAGGCATGTGAAATATGTTGTATGAGAAATTACAATGTACATGCTACTTGATGTTCACAATAAAGCATAAAAAAATAAAAAAATAAAAATCCATGCTGCATCGTGGGATGCAGTTCTATGAAGATATGCTGTAACTCCCCCATGTGGCCACAGCAAAACAACTTTATGGCAAGAGACCTTTCAGTCCAGGCTTTATGTATTTCAAAAAGGGCATTTATTGTCCATGTTAAGAAAGAAAGAAAGAAAGAAAGGACGGATTTTTTAAAATAGTTCTAAGCACTTTTATGATCTGTACTGACAGTTATATTAAAATAATAAACAGGATAAGTTGATATAACAAACTGTTTCTATGCATTAATTTGGGTATAGATAGATAGATACGACCTATGCATAAATTTTACCAACAAAAAAAATCGTAGTTAGCTACTCCAAAATGCGATGATGATGTAATAATAAATAATAAGTAGGTGTGACCAAACTTCTGACTGGCAGTGTGTACATACGTGTATACTAATTCTGAATACTATGCATGAAATAAGTGGTAAACTTATCAATTAATTTATCCGTTACAGCACGGACCAGCCACGTGGTAAATGTTTAACCTTACAATAGAGGACCTTTACCATTGCGGTTGAGTTAAGGTGAGTCACGAAACATGCTGGTTGATCCACGGCCTGGAACAAAGAAGACAGACAGCCCTATCAGCCAATTGGAAGGAAAGGCCCATCCTCGACGTAAGAGACAGCCAATAAACTCCCAAAGAGTGAGATGGGCATGGCCAACAGGCTTGTTTGTCACGCAAACTTGCATTTCACTAGAGGGGAGGTGAGGGCATGCCATGAAGCTAACGCATGAAGATAAAAGTAAGATTCATTTTAACCATGAGAACACGATAATAAATTTAGCTGTGATAAAATACCGTGTATGGTATACCGTTAAAACATTCGAGTTGTTTTCGTTGATTTAATCATAGTTTGCCCGTGGTGGCATGTCGAGAAGGCTTGGCTAGCTTAGTTGATCTGTTTTTGCAGTCGTTCGCAAATGTCAAACTGTTTGTTTATCCAATAAATTACTCTTAAAGCGTTAATAATATGAGATGAAAATACTAAAAAAAAAATATTTTGCTCGTGCATTTCAGCTGTCGTTAACGTTAACGTACCTAAATTGCAAGATAATAGCTAGTGCATGTCCACTTGACATTGGGTTGCGCTTATTATCTGTTCCCTAGAACCACATGGGAAATAATTTGTATAGTAAATCATTGCTTTTTTAGCTTTAACGTGCACTTCTAAGTCGAATTATAGATATATTCGGTTCGTGGTTCTAGAATGTTCTCATCCGTCCAGCATCGCCCTGTGTGTAACATGGGGGCCACAGCTGTCCGACTGCAACGCTTTAGCACTTTTAATCAAACTGGTGCGATAAGTAGCAAATCGTGGAGTTTCTCGTGGCTGGGTGAGCGCGCGGTCCTGCTGATGTCATGGCTCCAAAAAGCAGGAAGGGGAACGAACAAACTGGCCTCCGACAATAAGAAAGAGAGACTATTGTCTCTATTCGCCAGCCACTGTAGTTTTGTGACAGGCCAGAGGCTGAGAAGGGCTCTTCAGATAGGAGAGCTGTACTCAAACCTGTACTCGGAGAGAAGCAGGTGGACGCTCGTGGGCAGCATATGGCGGCGCCTGCAGAGCAAGCACGCTCCCGCGGGGAAGCTCATCGCGGCTCTGGCTGGAGTCTTCATGTGGGAAGAAGAGAAGATCAGAGATGATGAGCTGAGAAGGTACTTCCCTCACTTCTGGATTGTTTTATGTGACATCAAGGTGCTTTATGTAATATTATAAATACGACACATAATATCGTCGCTCTGACATTTGCTCTGCTTAAAGGTAGGTTAGGTGACTTCGGACAGGCTAGCTTTGAAAGCATAAGGTCCCAGTGGCTATTTAGAGTGTCTCCAAAGCCACACCTTCTGCAAAACACATGAATGCATGCAGCAGAGTCTGCAAAGCATCACAAGACAAGAGAGACTGTTAAATAACTCCATGTCACTAAGTACATTACAATAATAATAAACATAAACAACTTACAGAGCTCATTCTGTACCACTTAACTGCTGCAGATTAATTTTGGCATTGATATTGTTGGCATAGAAACGCACAAATCTGAGTCTGAGGACATGATCCGCTCCGGGTAGGACGTGACAGGTTTCCATCTTGAAATTACAGTTATGAGATGGCGTAAATGCAGCATAAGCCTGTTTTGGTTCAGGAGGAACTGTAAAAGGTGGCTGCCTTATAGGGTTGGGCCGGTGGACGATATCATTGTTCATTGTGATGGCTGACAGACATCATGGTGACATGGCATGCTTGGTATGTGATTCACCACAGCCAAAATAGCACTTTTATTTCTAAATATTAACAAACTTGCTTACCACGTCCTCAACTGTCTTCTATTCTGGTTGTCAAATATGTGTAAGTGAGTTTTTGTCGTCGTTTAAAAACCTTTGTAAATTATCTTGATCCGTAACATGAGATGTGCCATAGTTCAGAGATTCCTGTCTGTTGGATTTATTACAGCGCGTGAATTCATCCGTTTCTCCGGATGAAGTAAGTGGCCAGTGGACTGGGAGAAAAATAGAGTTGACTTTATTGTCATTTTTAAAGTCCCCATGTCATCGTCCATCGCGATGTTTCACTGTAGGCATTGTCTGATCCCAAATTGGTAGACATCGCCCAACACTACTGCCTTATGGAAAGTGCTGATGATGTGTGATGTCTGCACGAGCAGACTGCACTGTGGTATGGAAATGCATATGTTGACAGGCAGGTGATGCAATTGCAATGATTGGACAGTTTTTGGTCATGTGACTTACACAGAATATATATGTAGGCCTACATGTTTTAGTATTTAGAACACTTCTATTATTGATTGCTATCAGAATGTGAAGAGAAGTTTAGTTTTAGTATAACTTCAAGTTTTTATAAAACAAATCGCCTACTCTATCTTTAAGCTATATTGTGTGTGTATTATCAACTGCCTTAGCTTTGAGAGAAGCAAAATAGCAACAGTGGAGCGCCCTTTTATATACAATCAGAAACGCTCTCTACCTGTCAATCACTTTTCACATTTAGGTCTACTAACATCAGATTGGCTTTTTGAGGTTTTGGTGAGGAGAGGCACATTTTTATGTTCTTATTTTTTTAAGCAGCATTGTGTGAACTGTGCTTTAGGTGTGCATGGGAGCTGCAGGCCATGGAGTCGGTGAGGAGCCAGAATGTGACCCCAAATATACCCGCGTATGTGGATCCAGGCTGGGAGGTGGTCATGGAGAAGAAAAACTTCAGAGTTTGGAGGAGACCTATCGAGGGTAGCCATCTTTTTGAATACAGAGGTATGTTTTAAATGGTAACATTACATATATTTGTTGTCTCATTACATCATAATAAATATCTTTTTGTAAGTTAATGTGTGTTTTGAATAGGATATTTATGGATGTGTGCCTTAAACTTGATTGATATTTAAATAATAATCATCATAATTATTTGTCTTCCTATTCAAATAATCTATTTACATCTTTACAGTGTTTGGTTCATATACAGACGTCACCCCCCGGCAGTTCTTCAATGTCCAGGTACTAAATAATTGATTTAATATTAAGATTATGCAATTTATTTCATTATTTCAGCTTGACAAAAAACTACTTTTGGGTTTGTCTTGGGTGATTGTGTGCCTCACGATTGCTAAGCCTTTCCATAGCCTAAAGCCCAAAGTATTCTTCACTTTTTGCGTGTACACTAGGTTATGCGCATGACACGACTTTTGGCGTCAGCACAGTATCCGTGTAGCCATGATTCACAGACACGTAAAGAACGAAGTATACTTTGGGCTTTACACGTTTCAGGCATCACCTGCCTTGCACTCTTGTTATCTATGATGATATTTCTAGGTGTGTGCATGTGGTTGGAAATTGAATGTTATATTTAGACTCCCAAATATTTCCCTTCACACCAGTTGGACACAGAGTACAGAAAGAAGTGGGATGCACTGGTTATCAAACTGGAAGTGGTGGACAGGGATGTCAACACAGGCACGGAGGTCATTCATTGGGCGACGCATTTTCCAGTAAGCTATTAATCCAGTTCTCTGCTGTGTTCTGTCATAACGAGACATTTTGCCATGGAGTTGAGTTGTTGGCCTGAGTTGAAAGGAAGTGTAATCTAGTACTAGTTAACATAAGATTTAAAAGCCTTTAATCCTAATCTGCTTTGTGCTTGTGAAGTCGTTGATGAAGGAAGTTGCTTGGATGATTTAAACTTCAAAATCTTAACAGGTTGACAACATAAAGCATATATGAATAATTTAAGTCCAAGGACTTATGGGAATTCACAACAGCCTTGTTTGTGTAGTTAGTCAATTTGAGTTATTAAAATGAGGATTTTAAGTATTTATTACATTACAGTTAATTTCCATATTTGAGTTATAAATTCAATACCAGTATTGTTCATGTGTAACTTGATTAAAATTACTAGAACAAAAAAACATATTAGTTGTTTTAGGGGCCGTTTACAGGACACCATTTTTTAACAAAGTGTTTGAAAACAGTGCCATTATTGTCTCCGTGTGAACTCACGTTTTTGAAACTACAAAAACGTTTGTAGTTCACGTTTTTGAAACTATAAAAATGTGAATTTGTGAAAACGGTGACGTTATGCGGATGCATATTACATGTTCAGTCTATAGGCGCAAAGTGTTTCTTTATTAAGTGACTTCGCCATCTACTGGCCTGGCATGAATAATACAGCCGTTTTCACGTATCCGGTTTCACGTATAGGTACATGAAACACGCATAGAAAAACATTTCCGTTTTCAATACATCGTTGTCAAGTAAATGCATGTGTAAGCTTCATTTATTAATTTGATGTATCTGTTAGTATTCACATTATTGTTTAATAGTTAATAATGTTAATACTTATTGACCTTTCCTGTGCAGTATCCTATGTACTCCAGAGACTACGTCTATGTGCGCCGATATCACATCGATGAGGAGAACAACTTAATGATGTTAGTCTCCAGGTAAGTGTTATTGCCATGTTTTAAAGGCATTATTTAGTAATATCTGAGTGTTTATTGGTTTAAGTGTTTTCCTTATATTAAGTTAGCCTTTTTTCTCCACGCAGAGCTGTTAAACACCCCATTATCCCAGAGACCCAGGAATTCGTCCGAGTGCACTCTTACCAGTCTAAGTTGGTCATCCGCCCACACAGGTCATTTGATGAGGTGAGAACCAAAATCTCCTGTGTGCAAGTCTGTCTGCGGTTGGTCTTAGTATGCAGTCTTAAGTTAATTATGTTGTCTTAACAGAATGGCTTTGACTACCTGCTGACCTACAGTGACGATCCCCAGACGGTCTTCCCTCGCTATTGCGTCAGCTGGATGGTGTCTAGTGGTGAGCTGTCTGTTTAATGCACTCACTGTCCTAAAAAAATATATCTTCATAGAAAATTGCTATTCATCTTAGTATCACAGTTTGGAATTTCACAGATGATTTGGTTGCTGTTATAATAGTCGTCCTTGAGTTCTGCCCTTTCTGCAGCTGCTGTTTCTTGACACCTGTTCACATCAATTTCACTTCCTCTCTGACCCACAGGTATGCCAGACTTCCTGGAGAAGCTTCACACCGCTGCTCTCAGAGCTAAAAACATGGAGTTCAGTGTCAAAGACTACGTCAGCGTCGTAAAGCCTACCCAACCCACACAAGACCGACTAGGAGCTGACAACACTCACACTAGAGGCCCAAGCCAGATCTACGCCTGAGCGTCTGGCTGTGGCGATTGATGTACTGTGGCAAAATGAACTTGATCTACATATCTGTTTTGTTGTGGGGTCATTCATTGAAGCAACAAAGTGATCCGAACCATCGATTCCCAAAATTAATTTATGCCATTTGACCAACTGCACTAGCTGTCAAACTGAGCGCTTGCATCCCTCACTTTTTGTGCTGTTAGTTTACATCCTTTTTCTGTAGGGTGCATCTATCTGAGATGAGCCAAAATAACGCCGTTATTAATCATAGACGCTCATGCCAAAGCAGTATTTTACTGCGCATTTCTGTATCTCACAATCATCGGAATAAATCATGCAGTTGAAATGTGGAAAAACATCTGGAGAACAGTGTACACACCCTACAAGCTTCAAGTTCAGGAAATTGCTTCTGCAAAGCCATGTATTTGTACTATCTTCTTTTTTTGTGGTTCTTTTCTCCAGCTTATACTGTGGTGAACTGCTCCCGGCAGAACCGGATCGACTCCCCATAGTCCTCATTTACTGTGTTGAATGTTTATTGCCAGTAAAACCCAAACAGCCTTCATGGGATCACCAAAACCTGCTCTGGAAACAAAAGAGAGGCGTGTCTTATGTGAACCGCAACATCCTCACGAACTGGCTGGACTTCCTCCTGCGCTCTACACGGCTATTTGAAGTCGAAAACATCTTTGGTAATCTGAACTCCAGCAAATGAGGATGCTATGAGAGACAGTTTTGCTCACTGAATCCATAGTGTGATGGAAGTAGAAGGATGGATTTAGTGCAAGTGCAAATAATAATGGGGATTTGTGTGTGTTTGGCAATTCACTTTAATGGGATTGTCTGTATTATGTTTATACTAAAAAAAAGGATGTGGTAGTCAAGCTTGGCTTGTTAAATGCAGATTGTACACTTTGAACATCCTGAGCACATAACCTAAATCATCAAGTTTCTGGTCTCCGTCCTATCATTTCATACTGATGTTTTTCAACATCGCAGTGAAGCTACTGATACAGTAGCACTTCGTTTTGCTGAGTGGAGAAAAAAGTATGCTAATCGTCTGAGGAAATGCAAAGCTACTTGCATGTTGACTAGTTTCTTTTCATGGTTTCTGCTGTGGGACAATTAAAATGAAAGCAGATCTATTGAATTCCAAGGTGAAATGTTACTAGGTGGATATGTGAAAAATATACTGAATAAATATGACATCTTCATTTGAATGAAGCACTTGATGGGGACATTTTCTTGAAACATCCATTTCCTGTGTTGCATAATGCATACGTTGTGTTACTGGTGTGGTAACTAAACTTGCAGTGGAATTATGTTTCACTTGAAATGTGATTGGTTCCAAATAATGCATCCATATACCCAACCATGTGACTTTTCGCTTTTGAAAATCCATTCTGTTCGCTCTTATATGTAATGAAATTGTTAATTCCCCCGGTTGTTTGTATTGTGTTCTTGTTTTGTTTTTTTTTTTTTTAAATTCAATTATAATACACTTGTCACACCAGGTTCATAAAAATATGTATTTGTATTTTTAACACTGATAACTCCAACCTGTTTACATTCTGGTGTGTTTAAGTTAAAAAGGCTTCAAAAATACTATTTTTGTCTTTGTTTGTTTTGTTTTGTTTATTAAAAAAATCAACTGCTCTGTCATGGTTGGTGATCATGGTTTTCTATGATTTTGTTTCATGTTTAAGACTATTGCTCACAGAAGTCAGTCAAAGGTATGTCTTCTTTTCCTAAGGAATATGACAGCTTATTAGAAGTTACGGTCTATTGACATCTGTGAAAAAGGCTCTTGTAACTACACTTTTTTTTTTTTTTTTTGCTCCTTAATACATACAAATGCAAACTTCCCAGTGTCATATATGTTTCTGTTTCCCACAAATAACTGTGTATTTATTTCCCGTCGATTTGACATGTCTCTAACGGTCCTTAAAGGGAGATAGTTCACTTTGAAATGAATTTTTGATATGTGTTAGCTTACCTCAAGGGCATCCAAGATGTAGGTGTCTTTGTTTCCACAGTATTTTCCATTTTGATATATTTCGGTCAAACCGTTGTTGTCCATCACTAATACACTGGAGGTTAAGGTGGATCCACCATGGGTTCACCCCAAAGAGCATGCACAGAGAAGTCAAAATTAAACATGATTGAATGACTCGTGAATGTAAGTACACATTGATAAGACACGAATTGAGCGGTTTGGGTGAGAAAACTAACAGTATTTATATCGTTTTTACCTCGTGTAATCACATCGATGTCAAAATGATCTGACGGCACGAACGCTTCGGTCTGCGCATGCGCAAGAAGTGATCGCTTGCGCGCTACTCACTCTTTGTTTATACAGAGATTTTTGACGTTTTACCTTTCACTAAACATATTTATATGTATATGGGAAATTGCAATGGAATACGATTTCGGTATATCTAAATATGTTTAGTAAAAGGTAAAACTTCCGAAATCTCCGTGTAAATATTCAGTGATGTACACATGCAAGCGGTCACTTCCGGCGGAACATGAACATTAATTAGTTCGGTTCAGTTGGACATTGCACAACTGATTCAGATCATTTGGACGATACTGTGATTACACAAGGTAAAAACGAAATAAACACTGTTCGTTTTCTCACACAAACCGCTCGTTTCGTGTCTTAGGCCATCAATGTCTACTTACATTTACGAGTCATTAAATCATGTTTAATTTGGACTTCTCTGTGCATGCTCTTTGACGTGGACCCCCATACTTTACCCGCATTATATGACAGGTAGACCTGGAAAAATGTCAAAATTGAAAATACTGTGGAAACAAAGACACCTACATCTTGGATGCCCTTGAGGTAAGCTAAAACATATCAAAAATTCATTTCAAAGTGAACTATCCCTTTAATATGGTTGTTGAGCATGTTTAGTGTTTCGTCATGCTATTTCATCATGTTAAATTGTCAGACATTCTGTAGTAAGTTACACTGAAAAGTGCATTGATGTGGCGTCTTGAGTCAAAGCACCAGTGTTGTATAAAACTGCTTAACTGAAGTTTTATGCATTTAGTAGTATTTTCACTTTCTAATATCTAAACTAAGAGCGTTCTACTGTAATATCAAGTGAAATAGAATGAACGAGTGAGAGTTCTGGAGCATGAGTTAGTTTTTTTGCTAATGTGAAAATAAATACATTTTAATTCATTCTGAGTTTTGTTTTGTTTTTCTTGATGTAGATAAGATAGTATCGAGTAATGTGAAATTCGTAATAGTTTACTAAACAATGTTTTTATAGCTTTTAATCATCAACTTCTTGTTATAACAGCAGACAGAAGTTAGTCCAATAACACACACACACACACACACACACACATATATACCGCAAAGTACATGGTGGCCATGGTTGTTCTTTAATTATAGCACATTTTCATTGACTGGATTTCTCTGGTAGCATTTATTGATGGATTGGATCCATATTATCATTGTAATGAATCTTTTTATACCGCTTGGCAAATCAGCTAGTGTTGAAAAGCTTCATAAGGTGCTATAAACGATGCAAGCTGTTCTCCTGTAGGTTGAATCTCAAAGTTTTAAGTAAAAGATGCTTCTGCACAGACAAACAGATGACACAATATCCAAGCAGTCCATTACTTTGAAAATGACTGGAGCTGAGCTGTGCAACCTAACATGACCTCTGACGGTAAAACAGAGTGGTTCATTCATCTGGAGACTGACTGTAAATGCTGCTCTTTCTCTGCAGTGAGCTCCACCCATCATGACCTCCCCGATTTTATCTAAGATTGCATTTACTCCAAGACTTGCATTACTAAAGCCTTTTTGCCCAGATTGTTTCAATATTGAAAATGGTGACTGATGAGCCAAATTTATCCATACATATTTTTAGGATGAATGGGGATGCAGCTAGACTTTGGCAGTGCATTTGCTTTTTTCTTACCTTATTTTCAAACAAATTGTAAAATGGGGGGTATTGTTGGGTACGTGTCCGCCTGTATGTATACATACAGGGGGCTAATAATTTGTAAAAGGAAATGGAAAAGACATAAAGAGAGAAATATATCAAGCCATGAAATCAGTTTTGTTGAGGAAGTGCTGGTTGGCAACAGAACTAACACTTTTTTGTCCACAGTGTCACCATTTCCACTCGTTTAATTTTTCTTGCTATACTGATATGTCACACTCAACAAACAAAACAACACAAGGGATTTTATTCTTTAAAACACTCTTGTTTTGGACAGGAACATTACACTTCAACAGACAAGTTTCACAAGGTTTGATTCTTTAAATTGTGTAGCTCAGAGGAAATGAACAAAAAGTAAGAAAAACATGAAAGAAAGTGCACACAAGTCTCCAAAGTGCTTGGCAAAACCATGGACAGAAAGGGAACTGCATGGTTAGATCAAGCACAATGGTGTCCTGGGCAAAGTCGTAAAGTCAGTAGAAACTCATCCAGGTTCTGGATCTGTTACAAAAGACAAGACAGAATGGTCCATGGACATTAAAATGCTGTTCAAAATCATGCAGATTACAATAAAGGACGTCTGAGAACAGATCAAGGCTCCAAGTCAAGGTGGAACCGCAAACTTATGGATCCCTGGTTGAGGTATTTCAAAAAGACCATCAAAATTTGTCACCAAGAGTCTTCTTCAGCCATCCTTCGATGTTGTATCTATTTTAATAAAGATTGAATTAAGCTTTCCACAAACTGGAAAACACATGAAATCAAGAAGAGCAGTATCATAGAGTTGTTGCAGGTGATGACCGAGAGCAACTGAGTCCCACACAGTGGGAGAGGTGCTGAAAATGTGTTTGTGATAGACTGCGACTGTCTGCAAAATTAAAAAAAGCAAAGAAAAGATTAGTCATAGGTCACGTTCCCACTGCAGAGATTCGTAGGCACCGCCCTTCCTGCGCAAAAACTGCGTCAAACCACACCCTCTCCGAAAATCGTACACGTCCCTACTACCTATGCCTGATGACCAGTCGACAAAATGGTAAATTTTCTCAGATTTCAGTAAAATAGTGACATGGAACTCAAGAGAGCTACAGAAGGGGGTTAACAAACGAGAGTGGGTTGGTAATTAAATGAGTTTGCTGTCATTCAATTCTTTTCAGAAAATCTATAGAAATAGAGTTTGTTGGAGCAATGGTTGTCTTGTTAAGGAACATCAATAGCTCCCCAGCTTCTTGACTTGCCCAAATTGACTGCTCTAGGGGGCAAATAAGAATAAACTACTAATGTCTCTTTCTTACACACCATGCCAATGTCATCTATCCCACAGAACTTGGACCTTAGGTCTAAATCTGAGCTCAATACTACAAAATCTCTTGTGGTAAGGCTTCCAAAGGTATCCCAGAGTATCCCTACAAAAAATCTGCCTATTAATCTGGGTGGTAATCATATTACCCTCTTACTTGCCATACCCCATGGGACATTTTAGTGGGAATGGGAAGGATGGGTCCGCTAATCAACTCTAAATGTCGGACAACTGAACCACTTAGCAAGATGAAATGGAAGGAAACAAACATTTTCAAGGATGATGGTTTGGGATGGTGTTGGAGAATGGAGGGTGAGGATCAGAAAGAACAGTTGATAAAGAATGAATGGATGAAGCCATTGTCTACGCCTACATTCTTTAACAAATTTCATGGTACGTTTGGTGTCACGTTGACCCTTGAGTCTATCCTATGAGCGTATTACAAATTTAAAGCAAAAACTACTTGCAAACACTACTTCTTACCTAGTTGGTTCAGAAGTGTATTTCATCCCCTTCTCTTGCGCAAGGAAATCTGTTATCTTGAAGAGGACTTGTCCAAAAGGCTCAAAACAAATTCCTAGAGAAAACTGTTGGAATTGTCAGAGCAGCTCTGTGAGAAGAAAAGAAGGAACGGTTAAGACATTCAACAACTTGGCGCATAACGGACTCTCACCTCAATCTAGCAGAAGACCATCTACAAGAGGTCTTGTAGAGGATCTTCCAACAGGTTCCCAGAGAGAGAATCTTCATGCCGAGACCAATGCCACTTGCTCTCGACTCTTCGGCGACTAAGATCGGCTGAGGGCGAGGAAGAGCTGCTGTTCTGAGCTGGGTGTCTGGACTGGACCTGTTAGCCAGACTGAAGGCAAATTGTCCAGGATGTCTCTCCTCCAACACTCACATACTCCGCCCCTCCCTCCGCCTTGCGGGGGGGTCACACAATATCACCCAGGATAGGCTAGTTGCCGAGGAGAAGTTGGGTGATGTGGGCCAGGGTATGTGTCATTGGGAGGGGGTAGAGGGTCCAGTTCCGCAATTCATAAATATTAATACAGAGTCCTCCCTCTTGAGGAGGGGGCAAATTCTTTAATTTTGTTAGAGGGGGAAGCGCTTTATTCACTTAATGGCTTTTATTAGTGCCCGGACTTCAACTCTTTCATTAGCTAAAGTGCTGCTATAATTTACAGGGGAAAGTGCAGCAGGGGGAGATGGGTGGGGGAAGGGCGGAGCTTGATGGGTGAGCACTGGCTCCTCTGCCATTGGCGTACGTCCCTACCATCTTAAAAAATAAACTCGGATCAATGCCTGAATATGCCTCCATTTCATCTCCATGAACCCAATAACCCTACCAAAAGAAACGAACGCCAGACTAAAACGTTTGCTGATGCTGCGCTTTAAGTTCTCATTGATAACATACTGCATCTTTCAATTATGCTTTCTTTGAGAAAATTATTTATTGTACCATCCGCATTAGCTATTGTTTTGTGAATAGGGTGACTGGCATGATGTTTTGTTTTTCATTTTGAATTTTGAAGCATTCAGTGCATCCCCATTTTTTAGATGTTCTGAAAAGGTAGATCATTTTGTTTTATCTCAACTGCTCTGAGAAACAATTTTTCACTGGCACAGCTTAAAGCAGAATACCCAATAAACAAATAGAAACTGCAGTGCGAAATATATGTATAAGTTTGTAGTCATCATGAGATGACCTTCTATAGGAATACCACATTTTGATAATTTGTGTATTACTGAATAAGCATTGCAAGAAACTGTTCTATATATATTCTTACTCTTATAATGAGCAATTACTAACCAAGGAACATTGAAAATCATAACATAAGTAAAAATGTATATTCACAATACAATTTTATAATTTTCATGAGCACTCCAGGTCTGGAAAAAATCACAATTTAAAAGACACTTATCCAAATGTACTTACCACAAGAATTGCTTTTTATTGTGGTATTGTTGACTTTATATCAGCTCAAATGCAAAGGCACCAAAAAGGCTTTTTGGCTAATTAACCTTTGAGGCAGCTTGCACCCATCACACATTCATAATGTCAAATGTCCCTAGTGAGTGGGGCGATTTAAGGGCATCAGTGCTTCTGACGGGGTGTGTATCATTCTTCGTCCGTTTCATCCGCTAAGTGGCCTGGTTATCCTGAGTGATTGATTGTCACAGCGGGGGAGGGTGTTGTGACCACAAGACTACTGGATTAAACCACATGAAGTGCTGGTTACTGACTAGATATCACAGTTGATTTTGTTCATCTGGTAAACATTGCTGACAATATTCTACAAAAAGACTTGAATCATATGTTTTGTAAAGTATTTAGTACTTCAATTAGCTCACTGTTTCTGCCTGAAATTATTACATTGCATTAATTATTGACTATTAAAATACATTAAATGTACAAATAAAATGTACATTTTTAGCTAATTTGTAAATGTACATTTCTGAAATACAACTTACAGTTACCTCTGATAACAGATCCCTGTAAATTGTAGTGTGCTTTGAAACGATGTGTATTGTGAAAAGCACTATACAAATAAATGTGAATTGAATTGTCATGAAAAAGTCACATTTAGACATCCATGGATTTTTATACTAGAGTTTTATTGAAGTTCACTTTGTTTTGCAGCCCACATTTGTACTTATTCGATAACTGCATTCAAACCATTTCTGATGCCGAATAACGCAAGATCCATATGAGAATATGCTTGATGCATTTTTGAGATTTACAATCATACCTTATCCGAGTCCAAAAATAAAATGAAGGAATGAACAACAAGTGTGCCATGGGAACCTTCGGGGCATATAGAAATGTCTTGTTACTTCTTTTTTTGAAGTGTAATGATCATGCAAAGCATCAGAGTCCTTTTTATTTCTTGACCAGCTGGATTACATCCTCATCTTCTAGCACATGGTCTTTTCCGACTTTCTGCGGGTTATGCTTCACTGACGCCCCCCACACCAATGCACTGCAGAGAGAAAAGAGAGAGATGATGCTAGTAGGCACGTTTCAACACAGTAGCATTTTACTAAATGCTTTACATAGGGTTTCAAATCTTCCTTCATTGACATGGGACAATTTTTAAAAATCTGCACCAAATTCATTCAACTGCAGGTTCTGGAGTTAAACGGTAATACGAATTAAAACCTGTGACAAATTAAATTACATACAAAAAATTAATAATGAACCATGCATTAATAGGGGATTTCCTTTAAACAGTGCGAGTTGTACAATATCTGCAGAAACTATAGCATTTTGGCAAAAAGAAATTTACATATTTGAAAGGCTTCTTAAACAAAAAAATACGTAAGAAATAAAACCATTTAAACAAAATTGTTACAACTTTTGAGTTCGGGTCAGCTTTGACCAGAAAGTGAAGTGTAGATTTACACATGAAATTATGCGGTTTTGTTGTTTTAAAGGACTAGGAGGGTTAAATTTGACATTGTTATCCAATTCTGTCCCTTTAAAAATCAGTGTTGCAATTGTTAAAGTATTAATTGGAATAAATTAATGTAAATTTTAGATGAAAAACCAAGTTAAGTTACTAAAACTAAAACTTGTAAGCTTGTGTATATTGCCTAACTGTAAGCTTGTTCAGAAATGGTGACAAAAACGTTAAAAAAATTAAACGTCTTTTTGTTAAACATCATTTAAATAAACGAACATTAGATTTTTATGAGCCTGAATATTCAAATGCAATATCTTTGAAAAATGCCCATCCCTAAGAGATACTTGATCAATGTTTTTCTTTTACCAAATTGAAGAGCTCTTACCCAGAATTTAGGAACAAGTTCTTCCCAACCCAAGGAAGTAACGTAACATACACTGTAACCTTGGAACTGAGTTTAAGATACTGTGCTCATCATGTGTGAGAAATAAAAGATACCCAGTGCTGCACTTACACCAGAGACATTTGCTATCAACACAGATGAAAAATGACGCACAGCACAAAAAGGAAATACACTTTCAATTTCACCCGACTAGGTTTCAAAGCAATCTTCACTGAGAGAAAAATCAGAGATCACTAGGTCCAGCCCACTTGCAGAAAACCAAAGTTTCCAAAAAAAAAAAAAAAAAAAAAAACCCACAAGAGCTTACTTAAGTCACTTACTATTTGAACTCTTTGATGAGGTTTTTGTGAATCTTTAAGCAGAAGTCCTCAACAGCTGTCTTTTCATCTGGAAGCACTACAGGCGACGTGTAATCAGGAAGCTGTCCTTTCGGCTTTGTGTAGCTGTGAAACATCAGTCATTGTTATTATACATTATGAAGTGGCTTTATGATAGATAGTGCCCATTGTAAACTGTAAAGTCTGCCAGTGAAAACTAACCAGTAGAACATTATAATAAATGATACTGCTTTATGTTGCTGTAAGCTTCACACAGGCAAAATGGCATTTTCACTGAAAGTGACATTTCAGTACACAATGTTTTAGAACGGCGGTTCTTTGTGGTAATTAAAGTATGTCGGGCAGGAAATTTAACTGTTCACCTTTCATCCATCAACCTCAAATATGGCTTATCATTTGAAACACGCAAGTAGCAAATTTACACACCTGCTTGCTGTAAAGTTAACCTTGATAAATGCGCGCTACTATTAGGCGCATATCCAAGTGTTTGTGCGGAGTGTGAAGATTAACAGGCTAACTGCATGACATGGAGGCGCCAGCGCCATCACAAGCACTTTTTTCCCTGATATCAGCAGACACATTAAGTAATTCTGCGGAAGGGGCATATCTAGTGTGTGCGTGACAGCGCCCTCTGGTGTTCACATGGAGCAGCTTTAAAAAAACGCTTCATTGCGATTAATCGTGCAGCCCTAAACTAAAGGGTCTACTTGTATTTGTGTGAACTCACAATAACAGCAAACTTGTTTTTGTAAAATTAAGAAAACTATCAGGTCTAGGGGTGTAACGGGACACAACAATCACGGTTCGATACGTACCTCGGTTTAAAAGTCACGGTTCGGTACATTTTCAATACAGCAAAAAGAAAAATGCCAGAGAAATGTCCTATTTGTTAAAAGAAAAAAATATTTTTAAATAAGTTTGAGTTTTCCTACATCTTGAAGGTTTCAGGTTTATAAATGGGGGTCATCTTTGAAGGATGAACAAATAATGTTTCGGTCAGCACATTAAAAATATCATTATATATAAATATATATTTATTTATATATTATTTGAGTTTTGAAGTGCTGGAAAAAGATGTGAAATACTTAAAAACTCATTTCAACTGGTTACAGTTAGTGTTACTATATACATAGTTCCCACATGACGTCACAACATACGGGCATTTGCCGACCCGGCGCCATTGCTGAGGGCAAAACATAAGAAGAAGCAATACGAGTTGAACGAAGTGAAATGAGTTTCCTGCTATAAAGTGAAAATGGTCATCTCCTGTTGAGTCAATGGATGATAAAATCGTGCCGGAGGTTCAGTTAAATCGGGATTTTACACTATACCCGTCATTAGACTCCATATGGATGTGAGAAGACTAAGCTTTTGTCCGAACAACGACGGAGATTATGGCTGGCGAGCATAAACAGGAAAGAAACTCACTCAAAACACGCACGAATTTGTTTGACAAAAGCATAATGTTGTGTTTTATTGCGAGTGTAAATAAATATAAGTTAACACGTTGCAGTTTGAATAATGTCCTGTATGAACAAAATGACGAGGTATTAAAAACATACAAAACAACATTGCTTCCACTGTTTGATCTCACATTCCAGCATTGCAATCTCAGATTATGTCCCTAAAGATCCCGCGTATAATGTAGTTCCTCATTTATTACATTAATTAAATTGCACGCGAGTTATTTATT